TACTCCTTCTTCCTCCCAATATCCAGAAATAAAATTGCAAGTTCCTTTACAAATAGCATATAGGTGGGTTTTCCCTTTTACTTGCCTTGTTGTTTTTACCTTGTAGCATATTTTGTTTATATTTTGTTTGCACAGAATGTTGGCACTTGGAAAAATAAAGGTAGTGATGATATTCTCTTTGTTTCAAATATCTATTTGCAGTACATCCAGCAGAACATAAGAACTGATTGTTCAAACATTGATCGAATTCTAGAACCCCCTGAAGGTCAAGATGAAGGCGTTTGGAAGTATGAACATCTTAGGTATGTGGTCATAGATTTCTTCTTTATTGTTTATTCTGATATTTATATACCTTTTGGGAAAATCTGTGCATTTTGTAATTCATGATTAAAGGCGGGATTTATGGAATCAACCGTCCATGACAGTTTTGAAACCAGTAGTGCTTGGTACATTTCTTTATTTGGGCAGTAACTGTTATTCTGCCAGTGCCTTGTTTACACTAAGGCTTTGTTGTGCCAAATCACTCTTAGAGTATTTCTAATTTGCAGTCAAATTTGAGAAAACCCCACTACGTGTTTGTGTTCCTGTTCACAGAGCATAGCGAAAAATCATTTTTAAAAGTAAAATGTCTTACCTTTTTTAAATGTTTTGTTGCAGCAGACAAAATTGCTGAATCCAGTTTTTTCTGAGCACCTTCACTGCGATCTGTCCTTATAGAAAGACTTAGGACTGAAATGTGAGGATTGTGCATCTCTTTTTAGCTTCATTAACATACAATGTAGAAGCCAGGGCTGTCATCTTTTAACAAAAAGGTTCTTGCAGTTTAAACTGATTTTACTTAGACTAGGGTTTCTACTTGGCCTCTTAAGGGTTACATTTCCTACTTGCTTCTCCTTCTTTTCAATGTTAAGAGGGGTTTGTGTTAACCCTGTCTGCACTGTGCTGGCTCATCTCATTATAATTTGTAAAGTAGATTTAAACACTGCCAGTCCTAACAAAGGGGTAGCCAAACTCCGCCCCTCCAGCTGTGGTGAAACTACAAATCCCATGATGCATCTCTCTCCAGGAGTCATGTCTGTGGCTTTGAGAATCTTGCAATGCCTCATGGGATTTGTAGTTCCACCACAGCTGGAGGGCCAAAGTTTGGCTACCCCTTTGTTAGGACTGGCAGTGTTTTAAATCTACTTTACAAATTATGAGATGAGCCAGCACAGTGCAGACAGGGTTAACACAAACCCCTCTTAACATTGAAAAGAAGGAGAAGCAAGTAGGAAATGTAACCCTTAAGAGGCCAAGTAGAAACCCTAGTCTAAGTAAAATCAGTTTAAACTGCAAGAACCTTTTTGTTAAAAATATATTTTAGTTTATGTGATGTGAATGGGAACATGTAACAAATATAAAATAGGTGTTACCCCAGTTTGCTGTGAAAGTGGAAATACACTTTGAAGTATACAAATTAATAAACAAAACTCCCTAAACTGGCTTCAGAACAACATACTGACAGTTGGTGATGCTGCATGTATATTTAAAGGAACCCTGGAGTGACCTTTTATATGGAATTCCTGACACTTCCCAGCCTCATACCACTACTTCCTGTTGACCGGTAAGGTGTAGGTTGGGGAGGTGGCAGCTTTTGACAGTGCTAGAAAGCAGGAGTACTTGCATAATGACATTCATGTAAGTGGGTGCTTTCTGGAAGACATTTTATAGATACATGCAAGGTCTGCTAGGTGCTAACTTGGAATACTGTCCGATAATTTATATGTGCAGTCAAATTGCAACATAAACTTAAGTCCAATATTAGTGCTTCAGTGTGCTGACATAGTACACAAACAGGACTTGCTAGAAAACCTGGCCATATATTCTTGTGTTAAACCCTCTCCAATGAGGTGCATGCTGCTAAAGGGGAGCAGCAAAAGGGAACTTCAGTGTCATCATAAATTAGTAATGCAGTTCATGTGTATATCAAAGTGACACATAGAACATATTGCTGACTTCTTATATGCGAGTATTATGGCTCAATACACTTCTTCTGGGAACATGGCAAGAAACCAAGCCAAGCACACATTTTGGGATATGACGGTTAAGATTTAGTGAAGGGAGAATTTACAGGATGGGTGTGCTGCTATCATTGTTTCTTTACTTTTGTCGTATTGCAAAGTTCTCCTGCCAAAAATATTGTTTTGGATAGAGTGGGGATTGGTGAAAATCTGTCAGGTTTTTTTTATAGTGGTGGGTTAACCACGAACACAAAATGTAACAATTATGGACCCCCCACGAGGTGTTTGTCCTAATGTGTCAGTATGCACAGCATATTCACACATTATAGCAGACTTAACTTGCAGTCAATCCCCTCCAGCACTGCAGTGTTAGCCATCTCCTACCTCACTGTCGCTTCCATGCTCTCCTCGTCTTCTTCCGGGCTTGGTCTTCACCCTTTTGCTTGGCTGGGCCGGGCAACAAAATGCCAAGAATGTGCACTGAGCTGCGCAATTATGACAGAAGAGACATACAGGGTCTCTTGTGTCATAAAAACCCGACCTGTTAGGGTTTAAAAAAAAAAAAAAAGTGTCTTAACTTGCACTTGAAAGCTGTTCTCAATGATGAGATGTCAAATCAGTTCTTGTCTTTACTTAGATTGTTAATTCTGTTCATCTTTTAGGCAATTCTGTCTTGAACTCAATGGACTTGCTGTTAAACTCCAGGTAATATACCGTCTTCTATTAGTGATTGCAAAAACTGTGCAAGTGTTTTCATTGCTGACTGGCGGGTATTGTGGATGGTGTAAGTGTGTCATCTAGGTTTCCCACATACACATGGGGAGGGGGCCTGGATTTGTATCTGTCATGGAGGAAACACGCTTTGCTGTTTGTTGTTTTCTCAGTTCTTAAAGTTTTTTTCTGGGTCCTAGAGTTTGCAGGCTTTGTAGTGCTCCAGTCCCAGGTCCATATTTTACATGTTAGCCACACCTCATTATTATTATACAGGATTTATATAGCGCCAACAGTTTGTGCAGCGCTTTACATTATAAGGAAGACATTACAATTCAAGACAAGATGGTAAGGAGGGCCCTGCCCATGAGTTTGAGAATGTGATGGTTCAGTGGTTAGGTTGAGGTGGGATAGGCTTTGCTGAAGAGATGAGTCCTTACGGATCGCCTAAAGTCAGTCAGGGTGGGAGATAAACGGACAGGTTGGGGTAAAGAGTTCCAGAGAATGGGAGAGACATTATTAGTCTCAGCTATGCACGGGCCTTTTTATATGTCAGCTGACTGATACTCGGGACTCTCTGTCATGGGAGCCCGCTGCTGAGTGAAAAGGCTGAGCGCTGACAGAACACTAAAAAGGTTCAAGGGCTGTGTGTTTCTGTTGGGGAACCCATTGGGGGCACCCTATTAGTCAGGATCAGACTTGAATTTAGTTAGTAGCTAGCAGATGTTTTGTTTTATGCTATGCTGTACAAGTTCCTCTTGCAGTGTTGCTATGTTTATTTACTGTCTTGGACAAACCAGCTTGCACTTTTCCTGGGTGTTCCGGTCTCATGCATGGTTTACTTTCTTACAGTTTATTTACATTACTGCACAAATGTTTAGTGCACTAAACTGAGAACATTTTGAGAGAGAAGACAGCTCCAAATCTTAACTATTAGGAAGTTAACAAGGTGTTCTTATGTGTATTGCTGGCCTGATGTAGTACCCTCACTACCTGATATTTGGAAGACAAGAGACAAAGCTGCCAACAATAAGAATTAGTGTAGGTGTTGTGAGAGAATGAATGCAGAATGTTCCAATGAGACTGATGTGAGTCAGACACTTTTCAGCAAATTCCAGCATGAACGCATCTTCCACTGTGCATGCATCAAAGGAAGTATTGAAAAAGTTAAAGGGACCTTCAGTTCAGTCATTGTGTGAGGACAGTTGTTTTTTTTAATCCTAACTATGGCCGTCTCTTACTTCCTTGTGGTCTGCTAAATAAACTATTTATAAGCATTTTGTTATTACTGTTTAGTAAGTACAAATATATTTGATTTAGCCAGAAATTTTCCAAAGCTCTCTGACTGTGTACAAGGGAGGGGTTGTGGAGCTGGAGGAGATAAGGATAGGTCTGTGTTCTCTGTAACATATCATTAATAAGGCATGGCTCACGTAGGAATTCAGAATTGTGTTGTCATGTCAAAGAGCAGGGTTGAAGTATACTATATTTCTGGCACATTAGCTGTTATTTTTCCCCATAGAACTTGGAGAAATGGGTATTCCACAAATGTACTAAATGGGTTTTTTGTTTTGTTTTATACATTGCCTTGACAAACATTAACCCCTTCATAATGTACACTCAATGTTCCCGTCACTACGTGGCCAAAATGACTACGTGGCTCTGTAATGCCGGTAACCGCTGAGTACCGATGTTCCTAAGTGTGACAATTAGTGACAGTGACATTGTATGCCAGGTGACTATTCGCTTTCAGAGAAAAAAATAAAATACGATTTTTGTTTTAGTCTGAGAAGTACAGCAATGATTTCTGAAATCCTAGGGATGTGGGGTGTTTCCAAATAAAGGACAAATAAGTTAATTGTATTTGAATGCATTTTTTTTTTTTTTTTATAATAATCAAAACTAGGAAGAAAGTGTTTTTTTCGTTGTTTTTTAAAATATTTTATTCATCCTAAGTGAGGCGTTAGGTACACATATGTGATATAAATATATAGCCCTATCTGTCCTCTAAAAAAACAATATATAATATGTGTCGGTGCACTTTGTAAGAAAGTATATCACTGCTATGGAAGAATCATACAGCAAAAATGTAAAAAGTGCTTCAGTCATCAACGAACAAACTAAAAAGCTCAGTCATGAAGGGGTTAAAGTGTCTTTCCAGCTGTTTCCCTTATTATTCCAGTTTCCTGCTGGTGCGGCCGATTAAATCTATTCAGCCTTGTAAATGGCTGACCCCTGTAGCATTGTCAGGCCCGGAAGTTCAGCTGATTCATTAGCAATAGAAAATCTTGTGCACCTCAGTCACATGCGCGGTCTGTGCAGCACTCTGTCTGGCCTCACATATTTGCGTTACATAGCTCTTCCCTCCGTCTTATAGCGGTTGAAGAGCTGTCATGTGTTTAAGTAAGGGAAGTTGAGTCTAAAAAGCTCACCCTACTGAATCAGGAAAATAGAAACAGGACAGGACTACTGAAACCTCCCCCTCTCCTATTCTCCATAATGTAGGGAGGTGGGGTTCTGTAGTCCTCAGGACAATGTAAATGTTAGGAATGCAGCGCAGGCAGCTAACACAGGAAGTTATCAGCTGACAAGATATCAGGGAAAATCAACAGGTATTTTTTGAACTTATCAAACAGATCTAACAAAACATTTCTCATGGCACATTTAACAGACCAAAAGGTAACAAATAGGAGACGTTCGTTGTCGGGGTTTACAGACACTTTTACAGATCAGCTGATATCTTTAGTCAAAGTGGGTGAATATTTGTTTGAAGAAGTCTCCTTAAGCTTGGCTTAATATGTAGCTTTTTTTTTTTTTTAATAGGCTGAATGTCACCCTGACTCTTGCACCCAAATGACGGCAACAGAACAATGGATATTTCTTTGTGCGGCTCATAAAACACCAAAAGAGGTGAGTCAACTATGTTACTTTTTTGGGCAAATTCTTTTAAAAGGACTAGAAACTGAAGGAGGATAACCAAAATTGTTTTTAAATTCTGATAATAGGTACCTAGTGGTGTCTGGAGTGCTGGCCACACACTAATAGAGAATGCTTGATTTAGCTTGGATGGGAGAGTCCCATGGGTGGGTGTAGCACTGTCAGAATACCTGAACAGTCATTGCAGCTGACTGGCTACAGTCATTGGACGGCTGAGAATTTTCGGACCACCCCTATGACAAAGGTCAATTGAAAAATTGACTTTTCTTGAACGGAGGGGTGCTGAAGGGTCCACACACTCAGCTGAAAATTCAGCCAAGTCAGCAGGACAAGCAGTGTATATCCAGGGGGAACCTGTGGTAAAAGACATGTGGGAGCTGCTATAATAGACATAGTTCTCCAATATGCAGCCTGTAAGGCTCCACTATTTAGTAAAACATTGCCCTGAAGCAAGCATGCCTCCTAAAATCTAAATATGTGTGAACTTATATTCTGCATGTTGGTGACACAAGCTAGAAAACTCTGAAGGACATCCCCTGACACTTCTCCTAGTCAGTAATGCAATGCCATATCTTTCTATTCTAACAGGTTCCCTGAAACTATTTCTACTCTCCTTAGGGATAAAAAGAACCCAGTTTGCACTCTGCATCTAAATCACCTGACTGTGACTTTCTTGGCTGACCATAATGCTTTACTTACTCGACACAACAGCTACATCTCTGCTGGAGAGTGTGCTACATGCACAACCAGAAGTAGCCTCTCTGACAGCCAACTTAGTGTGTTCATGCTTTGTTTTATTGGATGCCACATACTTGGCTACAAATCAAGAATTACAAGTAGCTTATATCCAGGCATGGGTGCATGCAGAAGAATCGGGTATTTAAAAGCAAACATATTGCACTATGGGACTACTATTAATACTAGAGAATAGAAGAGGAGCACCAAATTGCAGCTGACGCTGATAATAAGGGAAGGTACAACCTTGTTGAAAGCTATTGTCAACACCTCTAAATCTTGTGCTCATTTTATTTTCTCCTGTAATAATGCATCATCCCATTTGTATTCTTTGCAATGAGTGCTAAGAAGTAGACAAACAACATGTAAAGTCTACTGTAAAAAAAAGAAATGGAAAACTGTTGTGTTTTTTTTTATTTTATTATTATTTTATTCCATTATAACCACTCTGTTTTTTTTTTGCCTTTTCTGTTTTAGTGCCCTGCCATAGATTACACAAGGCATACACTTGATGGTGCTGCATGTCTCTTGAATAGCAATAAATATTTCCCAAGCAGGTAAGTTTGTATCAAATGTGGCCATGTAGTCCTTGTTGACACTGTGGCGTGCGTTCATTTAGCATGTTAAAAATGTGTAACAAATTTGCAGTGCCATTACTTGTTAATGACACCCCAAACACAGCTGGGAAATAGCGCATTTTTTCCCACAAACAAACACAACACACTAGCAGCTGAAAATGCTGCATGAGCTATTTTCCCGTGTTTGACAGACGTGTATGCAACCCATTGATTGAATGTGGCAAACGCGTACGAACACTACACGTAGGGTGAACAAGTCCTTAGTTTCAATGCTACGCAAGGACAATCTGCAAATGAAGTGCTGCAAAATGTATGATTCAACAACTGGAGGAATAGGAGTCCGTTACTTACATCAGTACATTAAGTAATTGTAGTTTAAAGCAGAACTCTGGAGAAAAAAATTCTTAGCCCTAGCATTGGGGCTGCCCCCGCACTGCAAGGGTTAAGTGCTCATTTGTGTCTAGGTGCTAAAAAAGAAACACACATGAGCACTTAACTCTTGCAGTGCGCGGTTGCTAGCAGCCCAACTAATTGACTGTCCAAAAAATTGATAATGAAAATCGTTGGCTGTGCATAATTGCATATTGTAGAAGAAAAACCCCAGCCATCATACAGTGGTTTACTACTGTTTTAAACCCAACACTTTAAGCAATAATCCTCCTTTAACAAAAGAAAGAAAATTCCTGGACCTGCGCCCATTGTAACGTGCTCTGCTGTTCGCATATGGCTGCTTACCCATCCAACAAACTATTTCCCCTACCCCTAATTCTCCAAAAATGGCAAAGGGAACTTTCGCTTCTGTTGTAAAGCCGACAGTCGGCTCTACAAGTTTAAACAGAGTCCCAGCGGCAAAAGTCGCCGGGAGTCTGTTTAAACAGCCCCGATGCTGGCCCCGTACACTGTACGTCGTCAGTCACAAGGGGTTAAATACAGATGAGCTCGGAAGTCCTCTTTCCAGCAGGATGCAGGAATCCGGGTATAAAATAATGACCAGATGGTTTAGGATACCTTTACTCTTGTATAAAATGATCCCCCATGCGTCCTTAATGTGCTGGCGATGCAATCATACAAGAAACACTACTTCACATCTTCTGGGATTGCCCACTGCTACAGCCTATTGGAAGGACATAAAAAGTTTCACAAACAAACTCACAGGGACAACCCACAACCTTTCCACTCCATCTCAACCCATTAACCAGGAAACTCGCTACTCATTATTCTCCTAAATGCAGCTAGATCTTCAATACCACTTAAGGGCTTGTTCACACCAAATGCAGACCAGATCTGCACGCAGTGCAGTGTTTTTTGCCGCGTTCAGGGCCGTTTTTGCAAAAAATTAGATTGGGCTTTCAGTGCGTTCCAGTGCCTTTGCATGCATTTTTTATGCGTTCCAGAGCGGGTAAAATAGGGCTTGCTGCAGTTTTTTTACATGCTCTGGAACTGAATGCTGCGGTGTGAACTAGAGCCCAAAATACCATTGGAATACATTGGACGCAGTTTTGATCCGGTCTGTAACGGCTCTGCTCCTGCAACACGCTTGGTGTGAACCAGCCCTGAATAGAAGACTGCTGACCCACCTACCACCCACCAATGGATCCCAGTGGTCAATAAGATCTATTAGGTTATATCCAATTTATTATCAACTGGCACCCCTGTGCATCCTCTCAAGTCCACACCCTTTCTCCATCCTTATAAAGTTATTAAAAATAAAGGTTTATTTACATTGCCTCTTAGCACCCTATGATTTGTCAATTCTTACTAAGGGAACTTCATCTAATTTTTGATCTAGTAATAGCTTATGTTGGCGGGGGGGGCGGCCCCTTCTTCGGGACGCAGAAGCGATCTGGCGACAGGTAAGTCGCCAGGATCGCTTCTGTTGTAAAGCCGACAGTCGGCTCTACAAGTTTAAACAGAGTCCCAGCGGCAAAAGTCGCCGGGAGTCTGTTTAAACAGCCCCGATGCTGGCCCCGTACACTGTACGTCGTCAGTCACAAGGGGTTAAATACAGATGAGCTCGGAAGTCCTCTTTCCAGCAGGATGCAGGAATCCGGGTATAAAATAATGACCAGATGGTTTAGGATACCTTTACTCTTGTATAAAATGATCCCCCATGCGTCCTTAATGTGCTGGCGATGCAATCATACAAGAAACACTACTTCACATCTTCTGGGATTGCCCACTGCTACAGCCTATTGGAAGGACATAAAAAGTTTCACAAACAAACTCACAGGGACAACCCACAACCTTTCCACTCCATCTCAACCCATTAACCAGGAAACTCGCTACTCATTATTCTCCTAAATGCAGCTAGATCTTCAATACCACTTAAGGGCTTGTTCACACCAAATGCAGACCAGATCTGCACGCAGTGCAGTGTTTTTTGCCGCGTTCAGGGCCGTTTTTGCAAAAAATTAGATTGGGCTTTCAGTGCGTTCCAGTGCCTTTGCATGCATTTTTTATGCGTTCCAGAGCGGGTAAAATAGGGCTTGCTGCAGTTTTTTTACATGCTCTGGAACTGAATGCTGCGGTGTGAACTAGAGCCCAAAATACCATTGGAATACATTGGACGCAGTTTTGATCCGGTCTGTAACGGCTCTGCTCCTGCAACACGCTTGGTGTGAACCAGCCCTGAATAGAAGACTGCTGACCCACCTACCACCCACCAATGGATCCCAGTGGTCAATAAGATCTATTAGGTTATATCCAATTTATTATCAACTGGCACCCCTGTGCATCCTCTCAAGTCCACACCCTTTCTCCATCCTTATAAAGTTATTAAAAATAAAGGTTTATTTACATTGCCTCTTAGCACCCTATGATTTGTCAATTCTTACTAAGGGAACTTCATCTAATTTTTGATCTAGTAATAGCTTATGTACACAACATGCTTACTGCTTCAGTAATTGTACCTCAGTAATATTCTTAAAGGGTAATTCCACTTTTCCAGCCGAATTTGGGAAAGTAGAATTACCTCCACCAGTCTGCCCTCTCCATCCCCTACCTGTCAACAAAAACTCCTTCCCCTCCACGGCTGCCAGTCTACACCATACACAGCAGTGCAGCTCTGCGGTATGTATTTCAAATTACACTCGCGAATGGTGAGCACTCATTGATTAGCGCAGTCACCTGACCACGCTGGCCGGTGAAAAGAGCTTCTGAGTAATGAGAAGTCAGGTGGTCACTGGCAGCCGTGGAGGTGATAGAGCATTCGTTTAAAGGTAAGAGCATCGGAGATGTCAGGCCTGGCCTGCACTGTGCAGTGTCTGTGCACATGAATTTGTACTTTCTCAAATGTGAAATGAATAAATAATGGAAAAACCTCATTCAGTAGGTAGATTCATCTGCATAAAATGTCACATTTGCTGCTTTAAAAATCTGCCCCTTAGTGTGAGTAGAACTGAACACTGGATTAGGCCATTTCAGTATTTTACACAATTGGCCTGTACAAAATGTATAAATTACTGTTCAGTGGAGGTTGTCAGTAATAGTCTGACTTGCCAGTTTCGTAACAACATGGATGAGCTTGCATATTGCCCAGAAAATTAATAAATAGAAGAAAATATGACTGATTTCAGGTTTTTCTCCAGCAAAGAAACTACAGTAAAATCTCTGGTATGACTAGTCTGGAAAACTGTTGAACAAATGATGTGATCAGGTTGAGGAACACAGTGGTTCATGGTTTAAATATAGCTTAGAGCTTTGTAGGCGTACAACTCTTATGTAATAACACCATTCCAGAAGCAGTGGGTTATATGCAGAATATGTGCTTGTATGTAAAATCATCTACAACAAAAGCTTTTTCCCTGTAGTAAATTTTTGTTCTTTCCACAGGGTTAGCATAAAGGAATCATCTGTTGCCAAACTAGGATCAGTGTGTCGTAGGATTTATAGAATATTTTCACATGCTTATTTTCATCATCGGCAGATTTTTGATGAATATGAGGTATGCGTTTCATAATTCTTTAACAAGGGAATAATTATACATGAAACATTGTCCCCATTCTATATGTGAAGTTGTTTAAAGCTCTTGATATTTTTTCTGTTCATATTCTAGTTGTATATGAATGCAGGCTGAGAAATAAATAGCAACAGTATTGTTTGTTTTTGCAGAAAGTATAGCTCCTTTCAGGTATTGCCACACATTTTAGCTGGATTTAGATCTCTGTCTTGACTACCCTTTCAGTTATTTATAGTCTAGCCTTTCTTCCTTATTTGTGTTTGTATGCCTATATTATTATATGTATATACAGTATATAGAATAACTTTAAAAATGCATGCAAATTAATGTGGGTTTGCATTTCTTCTCTTAAGTCTCTTCATCACTGCTAAAACTGGTCTCTACAATTGCAAATATCCAGCATGGCCTTTCTTCAGCCTAGCTGTGGAGTTCCCAGTCCAAACTTGCTGGACTGGATGTTGCAGGGCTAGCCTGGAAGTGACCCTCGGGCATTGGATTCAATGTAAGAGGTTTTCCAGACCCTGTTATGGTAACGGGTTAGCCGCAGAGTACTTCTCAGGTCCAGAACAGTTGGCATTGCCTAGCACTTGCCCTGTCTCTGATGACTCAGTCTGTTAGTAGGTAGCTTCCTTGTTAGTAGTCTCGCTGGACACCTCAGAAGTAGTATCCTCTCTTCACCGGTTCCCACCGTGGAAGGGGTTAACTCTGAGGGACCGAGAACTTGCGTAATCTGCTGGGTGAAGTGCATAGAGACACATAGAACTCTGATCTTCGGTCCATTCCTGCTGCTCACCTAAAGTGACTTGGTTACCTCAGGCCACCCAACTCTCACCTGCTGCCAGAAGTTTGGTTTTGTACCCTGAGCTACATCACTTTGTTGCCACCTGGTTGTAGCATGTCTGATTCAAGACACAGGGTACAGTCTTGCTGTCCCAGGTGTCCCCAGTTCACCCTCTACGAATGTACGGTGCTGTTTACAGCATGCCTGCTGACGACGTCAAAATCTGAAGCCTGGAATCATGTCGTTTGCTCCTAGAGTGTGTGTCATCTTTGTAAGCCTTTCCTAGCTCTGTTGGGCATAGCGGCCTCCTCTGGCCTGCCCGAGAAGGTTTTTAATACAGTCATGCTTGACTTTATGGCCCAAGTCACACAGTTGTTTGTGGCCTCTGAATGCAGAGGCCACAAAGCACGCTCCTCTGCCTTCCCCAACAGGTTCTGCGTCTAATCTGTCTGCAGCCTCAGCCATCAGCTTCTAAGACATTATCTGATTGAGTCACTCCAGTTATTACCGGACAAACTTACCTCCAAGGAGATAGTCTTTTGCAATTACTCAGAAACTGAGGGTCTCGGTTCTTATTGGCGATGGGTGTACCATTTTACATGTAGAGCATTAACCTGTTGCTCCCACAAGATTTTGTCCCTAGTTTGGCTTACTTTAGAGCTCCTAAGATTGCTACTTCTAAGATTGCTACGACCTATCTGGTGCACTTGCGATTCCAAGTCCTTCCGCTATGGAGATTGAAAACACAGCGACAATATGTTTTTACCTCCCTGAGCACTTATTAGCTTTGTATCTTTTTGAAGAGGGTTTTGTTCAAAAGTAGTCTGCTCCTGCTGTGGATCCAGCAGTGCCCCTCCTTAACAACGTGACCACCATGTCGGCAGACGATGCTCCTGTCTTCAAGGACTGCACTGGAGGCCCTCTCAACAGCTCTGTTCGCACTGGTAGGTCCCACTTTTCATTGTGTCTTAGGTCTGACCTGGATTTGCCAGATTTGGACTAGTCCGTTATGTAGAAGAAATCTGGTCATTATTCCAGTTGATCCCCCTGATTTATAGAAGTTCTGGAGCGAGTGGCTGTAGCATTAAGCTACAGATGTGACAGGCTGCTGGTGGTTTGCAATCTCATTTCCCACATGAGTCCTGTCAGTCCACATGCGGAGGACACTTTAGGTAAAGTGTTCGACTTCAGAACCTGCATTAAGGGGCCTTTACTGTACATGGCCTTTGAGGGCCAATGCCTATTTGGGTCTACTCTGGATGCCATTAGCAAGGACACCACAGGTGGCGAAAGTACCTGCCGCCTTCAGCCAAAGACGCCCAAGCTACAATCTGGTAAGGCTCGTCCCCCACGTCTGAAACTCGAAGTCCCAATCCTTGCTCCCAGTCCACCTGCAAGTTCTAGAGCGCCAAGTTTGCCAAACCATCAGTAAAATTTTCTTTGCCATGAAAGTGCACCTACACTTTCCAGAGAGGGGGGAATGCTTGTTAGCCTTTATAGACACTTGAACGGCCTGCATCACAGATGCTTGGGTGCAGGAGTTGGTTTCCAGGGGCTACTAGCTATAGTTTTTCTTCCTGCCTCCCTCCTCACTTTTAACACTTTAACCATCCTGTGTCACCCTTACAAATTAGAAAACAACCATATAGCCCTTTATGGGTCTTCTGGATCAAGGTGTCCTTGCTTCAGTTTCTGTGGCAGAACATTTTTGGGGGCTTTACTCCAAACCTGAGAGGGGCATCCACCCCATCTTGGATCCAAAAGCTCTAAATGTCTTCATCCAAGCTCACAAATTCTTTGTGGAATCCACCCGCTCTGTCATCGCCTCCTTACCAGGGAGAATTCCTGGCATCTGTGGATATCAAGGATGCATTCATCTAGGATTGCACCCTGCACTTTCAGTTCTTGGCCCTGCCATTTACCCTTTCTTTTGCACCGTGAGTGTTCACTAAGGAGCTGGCCCTGCTGCACTTTCGGGGCATACATGTTGTGGGATACTTAGATGACTTTGGTAGGGAACAGTAGGCTCATGTTGTGGCGGTCAATGTAGCCTTGACTGTTAAGACAATTTGGATGGCTCCTGACTCTTCAGAAATAAGCGCTTGAATCCGTTCATCACTGGGATTACCTGGGTCCAGTCCTAGACACTGCTCAGGCCAGAGTTTTTCCTCCCATGGGAGAAATGTCATACTCTCTGATCCCAGACCAATACTCTTCAGTTCGGGAGTCATCCAACACTCTGCTTCTGCATTAGAGTTGCTCGGTCTGATGGTAGCCTGCATCTCCAGACAGACAGATTTGTGTGGCACAAAGGACCATGTTGTGCCTGGCTTGGTGGCTCTGGAATCCATCTTTTGGAGTCTGGGAAGTCCTTCCTTCCCATGTTTGCGACAATTCCCACATCTGATGCCAGCCTGTTGGGCTAAGGAGGAATCCTGGACATCTTTTCAGTGAAGGAGACTTGGATGTTAGAGGAATCTTGTCTTTTGGAGCTTCTGGCAGTTTGGCTATCTCTACTGCTCTGGATTGTGCAGCTGGAGGGCCATTATTTCAGGATTCTATCAATGGTGAATATCAACTATCAGGGTGAAAACAAAAGTCTTCTGCATCAAGAGACATACAACAGACCCTGTCTTGGGCAAAATTTTACATTTCAAGCTTGTCTGTTTTTTAGTCTAGGCCTTTCAATTCAACCAGGACATCTTCCTTCTGTCCCTCTGCTGGCTCCAGGTTATCAAAAAGGAAATTTCCCTTTTAATAGCCTGCATGTGGTGTGGACTGTAAGAGTCTGTCTCTCAGCCACTGCAACCTGCAGAAAGACGGATTCTCTATTTTGCCATTTTGGATGGCCCCTGCAGGATTGCACTAGTTCTCATTCCACCATCTCCCGATGGCACAGACAAACCATTATTCGAGCTTATGGTCTCAAGCATTGGGTTCCACCCTTTCATGGTAAGGTGCATTCTACGAGATCTGTCAGTACTTCTTGGGCTTTACAACATCAGTCTACTATGTCCCAGAATTGCTAGGCTGTCACCTGGTCTTCTGTTTCTATTGTTCACTGCCAGGTGGACGTACTGGCCTCAACTGACGCCAGCTCTGAGTTTAAGGTCCTTCAGGTGACTCTTTAGGCTGCAGGCAGTCCCCATTTCATTGTTTTTTGTTGGGCTGTTGCCATTGGTTTGCAGGTGGACTGCTTTTGGACATCCCAATGGTTAAGACTTCTTGTGTTCTTCAACAGAAAAATCGCAAAATATTTTGTACTACTGTAAAATCCTTTTCTTTGAGTCTTTTTGAGGGACACAGGTCCCAATGTGTTTTTATGATCATGCTCTCAGTACTGCTTTCCTACAAAACAGATATCCCGGGAGTAGGAGGGGTTCTCCTGGGATGGCCTGCATTTATTGTGTTTGCCGGTGTCCAGTCCTCCTGTAGATGGCAGCATAACCCAAAGGTTTAAGCCTTCCTGTGACCCTCAGTGGACTCCAAGAAAAGGATTTTACAGCAAGTACAAAGATCCTATATTATCCTTTCAGGCAAGTGTCTTGCAGCATGACCCATCTGCACTTCAGCTTCAATCATGGATTGATAGCCTGATCTCCTTTTAGAATAATTTCCTGAACCATAGGACATCATGGTTTTTTCAGTTCAGTGCAAGAACTCTGAGGCAAACACATCTCCAGGAAATCGCCTGCATTCCTGCCAAGGTTTGTTTCCATCCTCTTTTTATTCAGTAACGGGGTAAAAGACTGAAGATCAGCTGTAATCTCATTGACTTTGCTCAATCTCGTTCACTTAAAACCTAAGCTTCTGTCTTTGGATGTCCATAAGGCTCTGTTCACACCTAGGCATTTTGTTGTTCAAAGCTAAGCGTAACAAAATGCTCGAGACCAGAAATCACATTCATTGCTTTGGTCCCTGTTCACACCTGAGCGATTTGTCGCACAAAGTTTACTTTTGAGGTCTATGGGAGCAAAAAGTAGCTAATGTACTTTTTCATGCGACAGGCATTTTCTGCTTACAAGAAAACACTCAGGTCTGCACAGGGGCCATAGAAATGTGCGTTTTGTCACGCGCAAGACAAGCAAACAGGGACTAAGGTGTTTGACACTCTGTCGGCAGTATTTGGTTGTTTGTTTTTTTTTGCTCCTAGGAAACAGAGTTTTTAGGAGGACTTCTTTGACTGGATATCAGCCTTTTATTCTTGTCCCAAAGCTAATATCTGCTATCGTCTTTGTCTGATTATTTTGCAATACCTCGAGGGGCTAGGCAAAGTGTTCCCCTCCCCTATACTTTTTGTTCTTGCTTTACAACCTTTGGCGATTGCTTCAGGTCCAATCATGATATTATGGGAGTTGAGGTTGCAAGTACTCATAAAATTATGCTTTTTGCAGATGACACTCTCCTGCACCCTTCCTCGCAGCGACTTATTCTTCCCTGTACGCAGCCAACTACCCAGCTTTATTTAGGGAGCTTTTCCACTTATTAGACACATGGAGACATTTGCCCGCTTCTTGGTTTAGTAGAATTAATGCTGTCAAAATGTCCTATGTGCCAAAAATTGCTGTAACTGTTCCTATAGCAATCCAAGTCCTACCTTGCGTATAGAACTATGTAAACTTTGGAAATTCATTTGGGGGACTAGGAGATAAGGAAGTCTGTACTTTACCACCATAAGAGGTCTGGTGGGTTGGGAGTCCCCAATTTGTCTTTGTATTTCACAGCCTCGTAAAAAACGTATTTGGTCTCTTCATGCCACTCAAGAAATCCCTCTGTGGACTTGTCTTAATGCTATGGAACGTACCCATATCTCTATTAACTATTTGATTTGGTTTCCCCCTCACTTGTGCCCCTATGTTCAGGATTCGACATTACACAACATTACAAGTTCTTATAATGTGATTGCCCTAGAGAACTCCTATAAATTGTTGATGCGATGATACTTAATGCCTGTTAGGAACTCTAACAAGGTTATTCACTAAAGGGTGAAGGGTTTGGAGAAGGCAGGAGAAGTGAACAATCTAGGATAACATAGCTGAACTGGAAAGTGAGCTGAATTGGAGAATTTTTCCAAATCAGATATGTTGTCCTAGATTGTTCACTTCTCCTGCCTTCTCCAAACCCTTCACCCTTTTGCGAATAACCCTTTAAGTTCCACCCTAACGTTTCTCCTTGCTTCTGGGGTTGTCCCTCTCGTGGTACCATGTTTCATATTTGGTTGGAGTGCTCTAAGGATCAGAGGCTCTCACTCCTTGTTTATGACCTGCTCCACTCCGTAATTCATTGCAGTCTGAAACAGAATCCCTGGGAGGTGCTGTTGCATAAAAGGGTTCAGAGTCTTCGAAGACATGAGGGTATATTACAGGGATGCCCAAACTCCGGCCCTCCTGCTGTGGTGAAACTACAAATCCCATGAAGAATCTCTCTCCGGGAGTCGTGGCTGTGAGAATCTTACAAAGCCTCATGGTATTCGTAGCTGGAGGGCCGCAGTTTGGACATCCCTGGTATATTAGCTGGTCATTTCTTTTTGGCAACAAGGCAGATGATTGTGATAATGGCGGAAACCCACTTTGATCTTGGAGGAGGTCAAGCAGCGTATCAAGGATACTATGATCAATGAGAAACTCAAAATCGAAATTTCTGAAAGTGTGGTCCCCCTGGATTGAGTATGTTATCTCTCATGCATCTCTCCGATGATGTTCTCCCAGAGTCTTATTCCATCAGTTTCCTTTTGATCTTCATTGTTCCCCTTCTCTTTCTCTCACTCTTCTCCTTTCATCATTCAATATCTCTGTCTGGTTTCTTTCTTAGCTTTTTTGGTTTGCCTTTTCCCTCATTTCCTCTCTGGCATTTTATGGGACTTCCATGTGGATGGATGCAAGGGTTGTCACTGTGCCCTATCCTAGTTCTTGATTTGGTGTTTTTGTATATCTTTAATACAAATTTTGTAAAAGAATTGCTGTCATTTCGAATGCTGTACTTTCTGACCTAAAGAAACAACACTGTTCTTTGATAGTACAATTTGTCCACATTGAAGTATGATTTATTTTTGAGACTGTGCACCTTGACACACAAATGTTGCAATGCTAATATGGACTCTTGGACTGCTTTGGCCCTCTAGCTATGCAATGATGTGATCCATTTACTTTAAAGTGAAACTCCATTTTTATTTGGTTTTATATCTTCCACCCCGTATATGTTTTTCCAGAAAAGATAAACTGAGAAGTTACATTTTGGGAAGTGAATTTCAATAATTGTATTATTATGCACTGTGGTATCTCAAGTACTAATATGTGGTGTTGCATTACGTCTTGTTTTTTTTTTTATAGAATGAAACGTTTTTGTGTCATCGGTTCACTAAGTTTGTGATGAAATATAACCTTATGTCCAAAGATAACCTGATTGTTCCTCTCTTGGATGAAGAAGTGCAAAGTTCATCTGCCAGGGAAAGTGAAGCATAATTATATTTGTGTTCAGATAGTCCAACATGAACTTATTGATGAATTGATACAACTATTAACAAATCTGTACTGTATATATCTTTTAAATCAAGAAAAGTCCATATCTTGTCTTCTAGTGCAGTAGTTCTCAGCCTTTTCCAACTTTCTTTACATAAGGACTGCTTTTGTTGTGAGTTTTTTTTTTTTTAAAGCTGCAAATATGTTTTGTTAAGATATTGATCACAAGCAAAATTATGTTTTATGTTGGCAAATATGTATTGGTTAAGTACTTTTTTAGAGTTGTACAAATAGGCAGAAGTCTTGTTAAAGTTATATCCTGTAATGGCTGATAGAAAATGTATTTGCAGGGCAATCTCTCTGAGCTCCGGGACTCCTAAATCAGGTATATTGACAACTTTAGGCTGAAATAATGGGATTCAAACTGTTTGATCATTGTATTCTCTGTACAATGTCCCATTTTGTGTTTTTGTCAATTTAGCCTTGAGTTTGTAAATAATGCCTGATGCTTGATCCCTAGGAATAAACTACACCGTTTAAATCTTGCTACAGAAAGATTTAACTACTTGTTGATGGTCACCTCATTAGGCTACATAGGGAACATTTTTACTAGCTTAGTTGTGCTACTGAAATCTCTATTGATTAATAGCTAGTAATAGCAATGGATTACAATAAATTAGATAGATTTAACAAATAGTTCCCTTTTAAAGTAAGCTGTATAAATGGCAGTCAGTCTCGCATAATCCCTCAATGCTCTAATCATGTGATTGCTAAAAGATGACACCACATGCTACCTCTGTAGCTTATGTATTAGGGAGCCATTTGTTCCATCTGTTAAGCAATTATTTGCTACTCTTAGTAATTGATGACATTTTGATGGCATTACTAAACTACTTAAAAACCTAGCCTAATTAGGTGACTGTTGGCATGTGGTTAATTTTCTCAGTAACAACCTGAATAGTTCTACCCTTTGGGTTTCAAAGCTTGCAATACATTTTTTTTCAATAGCCATTAAATAACTTTGACTGTACCTTTTACCACTCAATGGTATTTACCTTTACATATTCTCAAAATACTATAATATTTCATTTTAAATTGAATGAAATGTTTTAATATTTCACACAATGTACTGTAGCATGCAGTGGATTGCCTTCTGTTACAGACCCTGTAATTGTGCATCATTTATAATAAATATTTTATTTAGCGTTTTTTTTTCTCCGCTCAACCGCCAAGTGTCCCTGGATATTTTTTTTTTTAAATATGACAGCAGTATATACTATACTGGGTCCTCCCATTGTAAAAAAGAATAACTGCCCAAAATGGATTTTCCCAGACCATTACCATGGCCCCTGCAAGATAGGTCCACTTCCAGTAATGACTGTTAGTGCATAGAAATTGTTCAGCAGGCAGATTTTCTATTTAGTTCCTCCTGCTATTGTGGTTTCCTGCCTCCATATCCAATATCACATTTACAAAGACACAGAACAGGAATTATTGTTAGGCTAGATCAGGGGTATTGAATTAAAATTAAGGACGTCTGGTAAGTCAAATTTTCCTAGAGCCGAGGTCCAATTCTCATGTCCCCTCAATGCCCCCTTACATTAGTGTTCCCCATCAGGGTTCTCCCTTACATTAGTGTTCCCCCATCAGTGTGTCCCCTTACATTAGTGTTCAACCCATCAGTGTATCCCCTTTACATTAGTGTATGTATAAAGTCACTCGCACTCCAATAGAATTTCAAGTCAAAAACGGTTTATTGACTCGATTGCTATCACATCACATTGTAAAGTTCCTTAGAGAAGAAACAAGATAGTCTCTTTGGCAGGCTGAAGGCACTTCGAATAAGTCCATCCCTGGATGTGAATGGTGCACCTAAGTACCTGAAGAACATGGGGCTCATGTAACTCAAGCTGCAAAGTCTCCATGTGAAACAGGCACAGTTCCAATCTTCTGGGTGAGAAGAGTAGCTGGGGTAAGGATGGCTGTAAGCTCTGAATCTGCAGTCACATCACTGTTGATGAATGAATTCAGCTTGACAGTTGTATGGATTTCACATTTTATCTCTGTGCTAGCGATGTTCTGTTCTGCATTGTGTAGCAGACTCAGCTGGCTTTCACCAATGTCTTTTGCAGAAAGAGGGTTTTGGCCTATGTGCCAGTCCAGACAGTGAACATCTGTGGGCTTGGTGTGTTGGCAGTGTGTGGTATGGACTAACCTTGCAATAGTGCGTTCAGGCCTTGTCCACTTGGAAAAAACGCCCATAGTGCTGACAGCCCAATACGAGTCTTTGTTCACTTTTGGTGACAAGGGTTTTGACTTCAGGAGGAATCTCCAGATCGTTGTCAGGATCTAGAAGACTGAAGTCATCAGCTGTTGTTTCTTCTGGATGATCCAGCAGGAATTGAGGACCTGTTAACCAAGAAGAAATTGCAAAGACACTGGCCTGGTGGCATGATCTGCAGCATTGATTTCTGATAGAACATAATGGCATTGTTCAGGCTTAGATGCTAACTTAGCTTTGCCAAACAGAAACCCTGTGTGGGTTTGATTAGAAAAGTCTCTCACCTTGAGGTAGGCAACGGCTGCTATGGTCTCAGTAGACTCATCTGAGAAGATGTGAAACTCTTTTCTCTGACTTGTAGCAAGAGACGTTGAAGTGTAGCAGCGTGACATTTCAATTCCATCTAAGGCATGTAGAGATTGCTGTCTCTGTAAGGATTTACCATGTATGGTGTTGGGAGCCACAAATCCAAATCCCAGTGGATCGTATAAGCCGTTCACCACTGACAGAACAACACGTTTGGTAAATGGCTTGTCTGGAGAACTGACTTGAAAGCCGAAGGTGTCTTTAAATAAGTCCCACCATAGGGCCAGACTTCTCTGTACAGGTGGCATGTCCATTCCCAGATTTAAGTCTTTAAGCCCTGTGGCAAGGTCGCCAGGTTGAAAGGCTTTCACAACAAACATTGTTTGAGACAGTCTTATGGTGTCTGAGGTTGGTCTCAGAAAGCATACCTTGAGCCTTTGGTAGCAGGTCTAATGCTTCTTCATGAAGAGGAGAATCATCTTGCACGATGACTGGTGTAGAAGACTCCGATGAGTTTTCCAAGAGGTTCACTGCTTGTGAAGATACTCGAGTGATGCTTGAGGAATCAGGTGCGTTGTCCCGCGTGTTTGCATCAGTGGATTCCTGCGCGTCCGAGCTGTTGAAGATAAGGTTGATCTCCAGGCCCTGTAGCTCTCTGGACAGTCATCAAACCTTGAGAGGCTAGTGTTAATGAGCTCGCGGCGTACCATATATCTGGCGAAGTCAGCCATGTCTGATCTCTCACTCTTTGGTGCCAAAGTAACTTGTGGAAAGTGGGTGTGAAAGTTCTCTGGTAAAGAAGGGTGAGCTTTACCAGGATTAAATGATGTTGCACGAGCGTTTAACTTTGGTGTAGTATCTAAGGCTTCTGCTGGCTGTAGCTTGAGCTGTGGCTTGTCGCTGGAAGTCACCTTGTTGTTTGCAGGAGTTGATGTGGTTTGCTGCGTAGATGCACTTGTGTTGTGGACTTGAGGAGGCTCAGGCATTTGGAGCTGAGAGGTCTCTGTGGTGAGTCAGAATAGTGTTGTTAGTAGGAGGTACAGGAGATGACTCTGTATCGTTGCAAACATTATGCTTTAGCACATATTCACTTGTGCGTTCAACTGGATCTTGCAGTTCTGCTGGGATAAGACAGTCTGAGTTAGTACTTTGTCCCATTGCTTGTTCAAGGACTTTCAGCCTTGCTAGGGCAACTGCTTCTTCCTTTTCCATTTGCAGAATCTTTATTTGGGATTCTATCTCTGCTTGGCGAGCTTCCATCTTCTCATGGCGAGCTGCCTTTTGTGTTTCTACCTCTGCTTCCTTTCTGGTAAAGGAGCTTTGCACTTTTTTGATTCAGCATCAGCGCGGGCTTCTATTAGCTTGTCGCTTAATGTTGAACTTCTGGAGTGAGAGGATCTAGAAGAACGTGCAGTGTGCTTGGTTGATGTTGATCTGTGAGATCTGGTCTCCTGCAGTTGAGCAATGCGGAGTTCTGCCTTATACTGAGCATTTTGCATTAAGAGATCCCTTTGTTGGTTTAGTGCATCAGTCTTGGTCAGTTCTGCTGAAGAGTCCTCTATATTACAGTCCTGCAAGAAAGCTGTGTATTTTGCAGACAGCCCTGGTAACGTTCATATGCAGCAGATAGGCGATCTATAGAGTCATTCAATCAATTCAGCTGGTTGATCATTAAAGTGTGACAAAACTGACATGCAGTGTGAAGTTCTGTCCCATAAGTCTGACAGATTGCTGGAGAACTCATCTCTAGTGGATTCATAGTTTTCTCTGAGTTTCTGTAATGCTCTGGACTACAAATCCCAGAGACGTAAAGCTTATCTCAAGGATGAGCCCAGCTGTAAGCTTGGCAAAACTTTAATTTCTATTTGTTGTCTGTTCTTGCAGTAAACTTCAAGGAAACTGACCCAGTAGCATTAAAAGTACTTTACTTGGTGAAAATGCTGCGTGTACAAACTTAGTTACAGGGAAAAAAAACAAATACATAAACAATACAGGCTGCTACAAACATACTATCACATGCACCCACTACACTATCTTCTAGTACATGTAATGCTTTCTAGGAGGGGAAACACTGAAAATGTACTTAGCTCAGGCTGCAGGCTCCACAAATTCTGCGATGAGCAGGACTTCTCAGCCTAGGAAAAATGGCTTCTCTGCTAAATCCTTTGTATGTCCTGGTCTTGAAGCAAGTCCTCTCGTTTCTTGTGAAGCGCCCTCGTACTGTCCCCCTCCTGTGAAGCCCTGGTCTTGTGAAGTGCTGTGCTCCCTTTCAGCTACTGGCTTTTTATTGAGAGAAAACTGGCCTAAAACTTTGGAAGCGCCGCCCCTTTCACCTTTAGGAAAATGCAATACGTTTCACTTTCCCACCTCTAGGTGGCAGCGCTGTACCATAAATTGCCATAAGTAGTCCAGATTTGATTTGAGTCTTGACCAGGCTAGGTGTGACTGTTTATGATCACCATCCCATTGTGATACGAATCAATGCAGGACAAGCTACACCATTGTGAAAAACCCAGTTTGGTTTGTTTAGGTGGCACCTTCCATTGTAAGAACCCAGCTTTCAACAAACAAACAAAACCTCCGTCTCTCTTGCAAATCTATGTGTGTCTGAAAAAGTCCACTAAGACAGTTTCTGTGTCGGTTTTATTGTACGTTTGGGTCTCGCACTCTGTTCGGCAATGTCTGCAGAATCTGCTCCCTGTACGTCTGCGGGTTCAGAGGCATGATGTATCTGCGTTGGTTCGGCCATAAAAGAGTGTTCA